CTATGTTCATTGCAGTATTATTCATGGTGACCAAGATATGGAAACAACCAAAGTGGGCTTTGATAGAAGACTGGATAAAGAAGATGTGGTACATATATACAACGGAATACTACTCGGCCATAAGAAAAGATGAAATACTGCCATTTGTGGCAACCATGGATGGACCTTTAGATTATAGTACTAAGTGAAATAAGTCAGACAGAAAAAGTTGAGAATCATATGACTTCCCCCATGTGTAGAATACAAAACTGAAAGCAACAAACAAACAAACAAACAAAAACTCAAGACACAGACAACAATTTAGTGGTTACCAGATGGTAAGGGGGGAGGGAGATGGTAGAATAGGGTACAGTAGGTGAAATACATGGTGATGGCAGAATTGACTCTGGGTGGTGAACATACAATGTAATATATAGGTGATATATTATAGAATTGTACACTTAAAACCTTACTAACCAATGTCACGCTGATAAATTTGATAAAAAAATTTAATGGTAAAAAAAATTATATATTTTTAATTTGTGTCTTCCCTAACATTATATTCTTTGAAGCAATATTTTTAAAACCTGAAAAAATAGATAGCAGATATTAACCCAAATCACCTTTTTAAATAGTTTTTTTAAAATACAGGCTTTCTTTAAAAGGTCAGAAAATTAATAAAGCAAGATGCATTTCCCATACAGACTATGTTAGAAAATATGTTTGCACTTTTGGTTAGGGCTTACAGGTGTGTTTTAGGAATTTCATCCCAATAAATGAACATTCCTCTTACTATGTTTTGAAACATTTCTATCATACCTTGAATAATTTACCCATTTTTTTAAAAAACATTTTTAGTCCTCTATGTAGACAATTGTAACAAAATGAATTTAAAAGAATAAAAGTTTAACATTCACAAACACTACAAGCTTTTCATTAAAACACTAAAAAACACAACATATTCCTTACTCTTTATCTTAAAATACTGACTTTCTGATGCAGGCAAAATATAATTTTAGTAACTCAAGACAGAATACATAAAATTGGCATATTTTTGATATGCACACAAATTGAGAAAGCATCTTTCCCAACTGTGCTGCAGAAAATGAAATGCATCTGGTGTGACAATATGGCCTGACATGTGAATTAGAATCAGTGGGAAGAAAGTGGTTTCTTTATTTTTTTCAAAGCAGAATATTTTAAATAATGCACATTATTTAATGTGCAAGTCTTTATCAAGTGTGTTATAATGTGTTTCAAAGGTATATTTGGCTAAAGAAAACAATAGCAAGAGGGCTGGCAGGGTATGAGAGGTAGTTTGTTCACTTTTCACTATTGTACATCAGTGACTCCCAAATCTCTTTCCCCAGAAACCCAAACTGATCTTTGGCTTTTGATTAACATCTCTACCCAGTGTCAGAGTATGCGCACAAATGTTGTTGGGGCCTCATGCTGGGCCAGGGGGTGGAGGGGTGGGAAGTGCGTTGGAGAACATGGCTGACACCAGGATCAAGCAGAGAAAAAGAGAAGCATTGAGCCATTTCCCTTGTTTTTGCAAAGAATTTTCTTTCTTCCTTGAAAGTTTTTTTGTGTTTTGTTTTATCCAGGCAATCTGGAGACGGATTTAATGCTTTTACCGTCTTTTCTTTCATGTGTTCCCATCTGTTCTTGTGAACTGTGAATAAAACTGAAATCTGCATGTGCTCTATACTCCCTCCTCAAGCCCAAGTATCTTCAGAGATGAGGTGCTAGGAAAGCAAGGAAAGATCTGTGAGATATAGAGGAAGCTGGGAAGGGCACAGCAGAGAGAAGCCTACTCCTGGACACTTCAGTGAGTCCTCTTCCTGTTCCAGGTTCTGACCTTATTTCTTCCTCTTCCCCATTCAGAGAGGTGAGTGGGCTCCTTTGAGCTGGGCAGAGAGGTATGCAGAGGGCTGAGGAATCCTCTTTTGTACATTCATGAGAGGCTGCTGCTAGCAGCTGGATTTGTGACTCATAACAGGGAAAACTGTCCACTTCTCAGGGAACAAGGCTCCATGGGCAGGACATGCTGGGAATCAACAATGGTTCCTCTTTCTGGGACTGTGTCTGGTTCCGGACAAGCTCCTCAGGGCCTATAGTTCTGCTTATACCCTACCTTTCACCTATTCTTGGAAAGATATTTTAGCTTTCTTATTCCTCCTATGTCTTCATTGAAATGCTAGTTCTTTATAATTAAAAGCTTCTTTACAGCTATAGATGGTATGATTAATAATGTCACTGTAAATGTGATATAGTAGATATGCAACAATGCATCACAGAGAATAGAGAACAAATTAATATAACTACTCCATCATAGAGCTGATTCTAGAGATGAAGAAAAAATTCCAAAAAAGTCATGGGGATATGAAATACAGTATGGGGAATACAATCAATAACATTGTAAAGACTATGCGTGGTGTCAGATGGGTACTGGACTTATCAGGGGATCACTTCATAAATAGTGTAAATGCCTGACCACTGCGCTATACACCTAAAGCTGAAGTAGAATAATATTGAATATCAACTATAATTTTTATACACACACACATATATTGTCATGGGATGTAAAGTACAGCAAAGGGAATATAGTCAATGGTATTGTAACAGCTATATACCATGTCAGAGGGGTAGTAGACTTGGGGGGTTATCACTTGGTGAGGGGTGTAACTGTTAAATCATTGTGTTGTTTTGTATACCTGAAACTAATATAATATAAACTTGTACATAAACTTGCAAGTACTAATAATAGAACTGAAGTAATCTCAGAAACACAGCGAGTTCTAAAAATTGTCAAAGGTAACTGTAGTAATGGAAAAAGATTTTAGAGAATGACTTGAGTACAAAACCTCTCTGTCATTTATTAACATGTGACCCTGAAAAAGTTATTTAATTATTTTGAGAACTGGTTTCCTAATCCATAAAAATGGCAACAAGAACTTCTATCATGTAGGACTGCTGTATTAAATCATGTAAGGCTATAAAGTGCCCAGCATACAGTGAAGACACACTAATAATGTTAGTTTAGTATCTTTTCCAAAATAGGTTTAGGTGTTTGGAACACAAAATTTGTATTTACATAGTGGTGTTTTTTTAAAGATTGATGGTATCTGAAAACTTTTTGGTAAAAATGAACATAAAAATCACTTCAGATTCTCTGCTTTTGCTTTGAAAATATCTTGCTTCAGTGAACTGCAAAGTAATTTAGTAAGTTAACATATGCAGTAATATGACACCAACCTTCCAAAATAATTCAATTATTATTTGTTGATTATTCTAGATTGCAAAAGTTCATAACAATAAACGTAAACAATATCCCAACTGTAAAATTCTTATACATTAGTATAATGGACACACTCAAAAATAAATGCTTTTTAAATACATAATATTCATCTATACTGAATTTAAAACATCCTTTTAAAATGACTTTTTACCTTAATTTTGGAACCAGAAACAGTTCAATTCAATTCTCTTTCGAGATGGAAGGAAAGGTAGGTTTATTTAGGCTTTTTGTCAATGATATTTCTACCCACTCTTCTGAGAATAATTAAACCCCTTTTTCTAGAACATTAGGTGTTTTCTTGAACATCAGTAATATTAGGTCACTGCAAGCAATTCTGTTTATGAAACAATAAAACACTTGTTGTATTCTGCTTTATTTTCTGAAACTATGTTAATACATTAGCTAATAAACTAAAATTATTTTCAACTGAAAATACATCTATTCCCATATCTTACCCTTTGAAACATGGCCTTATGTTTGTTGTAGTTCAACTTTTAATCGAAGTTTTAATATATATGTATATGTCATTAATCTAACAATAATTCAGAATCAAAAGAATAAGAGTTTACATAAACTAAGATACACTGAAAGAAAAGACGTCCCTGGCAGAATGGAACTTTCAAAATACTGGGGGTGCCAAAAAAACGATATACAAGTGGACACTTTGGTCAATGTTGCTCAAGCAGTAGTTCGCCATAATCAGAAGTGTCTGGATGCTGATGGTAACCACTTTGAGCACCTCTTGTAACTGCAGAAGTCAAACGTGACTTGTATTCATCTTTTGTTATCGGCATATATTGAGTATTACAATTTTAATAGTTTTCCTTTCTTAAAATGTGTATACATTTCTCTGGCACCCTCTATTCACTAGCGTTAACACTATTTGATAAACGTTTATAAAAGGACAGCCTCACCTCTACAAAACTGAGTAAGGAAAAGCAGCCGCTCAGTGGACCACCTTACGGATCCTACAGGTACATTTTTACTTGATTCTTGTCTGACCAAACTTGCCTGACCAAGTAAGCCAATATGATGCATAAAGCAGCATAACTGAAACGCAACCGCTTCAGATGACTACTAAATCTTAGAAAAAGCCACAGGAACATATCTAATTCGGATGAGACGCTCAGGCTGCCCACTTGTTGGGCAGCGATGCACTCGCAACGGGAAGTTTTAACAACGGAGGGAAAATGTGTAGACTTCTGCTTTTAAAGGTTTCTCCAAGACACGATCTCAGGTTTAACATTAAGTCACCTTCTCCCCATTTCTATTCCTTCCCGCAAAACATTAGTTTCAACTGCCTGCCCCTCTGCATCATCATCATCATACATGGTTGCAATCTTTTTTAAGTTGTCGGGTTTGTTTTTAGTTTCGACAAGGCGACACAGCTGGACAGCCCTTCTAGGAGACCTCCAAAAAGCACCCACTTTACATCTAACTTTATTACTCTCCTATTTGGCTACCATTAATACTTCCACTTTCATTGGCAACTCATAAAGCTACCCAGACAGCTTCTGGCTGCAGGCGTTATTTCTGTCAAAAGTCAAGTCAGGGTGCAAGTCAGGATACTATCTTTACTAAGCCGGGGGGAGATGTTTTCTTTCCACCCGATTTACTTGGTAGTACCCGCGTCGCCCTGCAATTCCAGGTCTGTGGTCCCCAAAAGCTGGAGACAAAGCCCCCTGCATCTAGTCTCAAGCCACGCCCACCAGTCACTCACCGGGCTGCAGCTGTGCTCCGCGCCCTTCTCCGGGCTCCGCGGCTCTGCGGGGCTCCGCGCTGGCTCCGCGGGAGGCAGCAGTGGCTCCAGCAGCTGCTCCAAGCAGGCGGTGCCGGGCAGGGAGGAACTCTTCTGATGGCACAAGTGCGCCGCGGGGCCCCGTCGCTGTGCACCCTCATCCCGGGCACGGTCCCTCCTCGGGGGTGGCTGGGGCGAGGAGGATAGGGAGGATGAGGCCGAGGACGAAGAGGGAGCCGAGTCTGGTGAGTGTCCGCCAGGAGGCGTCACTCCGCCTGCTGCCGCCAGCCCCTTTCCTATGGGGAGCAAATGCTCACGGATCCGGCGGCGCAGCGTTGACCCCTGCTCCACTCTGCTGGTACCCCCTGGCTCCAAAGGCTCCGGCGAGGAGCAGCACAGGTTGGGCTGGGAGGAGGAGAAGACGCGGTCCAGTACTTGCTTACGTTTCTTGAAGCCACTCCACCTGCTGCCCGTGCCACCCACGCCGGCCAGTGCGTCCCGCCTGCCACCTGGGGGTGGCGGGGAGGGCGACGGGGTGTCCGCAGTGCGGCGCTCGGGAGCCCCCGCGCGCCCGCCGCCCCCGCCCTTGCTCTTGCCCACCCCCAGCTGCAAGTTCTTCCAGAGCCGGGCCTGGAAGGAGGAGGACGATGCCACGGGCTCTGGCGAGCCCGCCGCGGCAGCCCGGGGCTCCATCCTCCACCCCCTGCTCCACCTCTTCCCTCCTCCTCCTCCTCCTCCTCCACCGCCCTCTCCCGCTGCGCCTCCTCCGGGAGCCCCACCGTGGTGGTGGCGGCGGCGGCGGCGGGCGCAGCAGCAGAAGCCCGGAGCGCCCAGTGGCTTCAGGCCAGCGCCGGGGAAAGAGGCCGCCGCCGCGGCTCTCGGGCCGCGGTACTCCGGCGCCGCCTCTTCCTCCTGCACCTGCCGGGGTGGGCTAGCGCTGTCACCAAATCCTGGCCGCTGTGCCTGCAAAGTTTCGAGCTCCGAGCTCGGCGGCTGCAGTCCACTGTACTCTCCCAGGCCGCGCCCTGCCTCCCTCTCCTCGCTGATTCGGGCTCGGAAGCTATGCGCAGCCGGGCGTGCACGCCCAGCTGCGCCAGGGACCGCACCCGGCGCCCTACGGGCAGCACCTGTCAGCGGCGTGGGCGGCTGCCTCCAAACTGGGTGCGCGCTGGACTCACACAACAGAGAGGATCCGGCTGAACACACGGGGGACCAGCAGCCCCACGGGAGCGCCCCAGGATCATCCTCCAACTCCTGGGTGGGAGAGAAGACGGGCAGACGACAGCCAGGTAGAGCTGGGTAGGGACCGGAGCCAGCTTGCTCCCTAGGATCCGGCCACAGTTCCCCACGCAGCTCGCTCTGGGCAAGCCGCGAACGTCTGGGTCCAATGAAGTGAGCTAGAGTGTAGATTATGCGCCTCGGGTGGGTCCTGTGGGGTGCCAAGCGTCCTCCCGGAGAGATGAACCTGATTGAGTTCTAGGGCTGAACACCGCTGTCCCCGCCCCGTTGCGCGCCCTGGGTCCAAGACGAGAGTTTGATTTCTTCTGTCTTGACTTCATTCCCATCCACTCCTCCCCGCTCTTTATTTGTATGCGCACTGGTAGTTTCTCTTGCGATCAACGTCCAGAGGTTTCTGGAGTCTGTCAATAAGGCCAGCCCTAAAGTTTCAAGGAGTTTAGGGTAGATGAAGATGTGGAGGATGCGCACTGCCTCTGACCCCATTCCAAACGCGGAGAATCTTGTTCTTTTCACTCAAGTGCATTTTCTTTTGGTTGCTTCATTACAAGGCAAATGGAAAAGGCGTTTTAGCTCGTTCAGACTTTGCTTCTCCCGAAGTCTACTGATCCGAGGGTCTTCTACTAAGAGAACCTCGTGAAAGGTGGATGACACGGTGTCCCTTCCCTCCCGCACTGCCCTCTGCACCCCTAAATATGGAAAACATACAAGAGTTCCCTGAGTTTTGGCACCACACTGTCTGATTCCAGCCTCATCTAACTAGCAGTATGCCCTGGAGGTGTTACCAACCTCTCAAAGCTTCTGAGTTTTCTATTTTTCTTGCCTTTATAACAAATACTTAAATATTTATTGAGCACCTACTATTTCCTCGCACTGTGATCAGTTCTGGGAATGCAGCTATGAACAAGGGAGCTGGGAGAGTCAGACAACAAACACAACTTCTGATAGTGAAAAGTCCCATGGAGACAATAAAACGGTAACATAATTGAGTGGCTATGGAGGTCGGTTGCCAGATAAATTGCAGGACACCCAATTAAATTTGAATTTCAAATAATCAATATTTTTAGTATATGTCCCAAATATTGCATGAGACATACTAAAATACTATTTATTGTCTACCTGAAAATCAAATTTAACTGGGTATTTTGTATTTTTATTTGCTAAATCTGGCAACCCAATCGGAAGGGTTGTTTTTTGTGTGGGGGGGGGGGCTTGTTTTTTCTACATGATATATACAGGGAGAATCCCTCTGAGATCTTAGCTCAATGCCTGAGGCTTTTCCAAGGAGACAAGCTGAAAGTACCACAAGGGGGAGAGAGGAGAGAGGAAGAGAGGGAGACGGGAAGAGGGAGGGAGAGGAGAGGAAGAGGGAGACTCTGATAGCCCAAAAAGAAACTACAATATCCAAAAGTGTTCTGCTCTCTAACACAGGAAACATGTTTTGTTACTAGTTTTCCTGGAACATGATAAATAGAAATACGGAGAAGATAAGTAAAGAAATATAGTACCACTGAAGAGAATTAAGAAGAAATGACCACTACTTCTTCCAGCACTCTTTATAAATATGTCTAGTTTTTGTCATATTTATATGATATGGACCCATGAAGGTAACTTTACACAATTCAACTTTTTATGCAAATAGTCTCAAAATGTTGGTACTTCATTGACTTTTGTATCTTAATAATTTCATTTTTCTCTTTATCTAATTTTGTCTTGAACATACTAACTCTGAGATTTCAGGTTCTGAACTCTATGATCCCAAATAACACTTACCAGTGTGAATTCATTTACACAGCTTCACAGAGCATATGTAACATTTCCTAAATATCTAAAGTGGATTATAAAATGAGAGACTGTTCTACAAATTACGCATTATATAAAGTTGCACTAGATATGCTCTCTGCCATCAAATGTCTTATATTTAAGAGAAGATATTTAGACTAGGGGAAGCTGAATGGTACAAACTGATCACTGAGGGAATACAGAAGAGTGAAGAGTCACTTCTGGCTTGTCTAATAAAAGATGTCTTGTTTGAGGCATCATCTGAGCTAAGATCTATTGCAACTGACACCACCAAGAAGATAGACTGCCACCTGCAAAGAAAATTCACAGCACGTAGCAAGACTTCAATGAATGTTAGCTATTCTTTTTATTACAAATTACTATCCATCTTAAATATTGACAGAACCTCTATTGCTTGAATTAATATGAAAATTAACATATGCATCACATATTGAAATATAGGAGGTTGGAAACGTGATGGATAATGTAATACCTGAGCAGAAACCCAAAGGAAGTGAGGGAGGAAAACAAGTCGTGAATCTAAAGGAAAAATTTGTCCAAGAAGAAACATTAAAAACAAAGATGCTGAAGCAGGAGCTTGCTCAGTTTGAGGAAGGGCAAGGAATACACAGTGGCTGGAACAGACAGAATGAGGGGAATGGGAGGAAAAGACAGTGCAGAGATGGCTAAGGGCCCGATCACATAGGAATCTGGAGGCAACAGTGAGGACTTTGGACTTGGATGGGATGGGAAGCCACTGGAGGGCTTTGAGTAGAGTTTCTTCATGATCCAACTTTCATTTCTAAAGATTCACTCTGGCCCCTGTGTTGACAATAAAGTGGAGGAAGGGAATGGGTGGGAACAGGGTTTAGACAGGAACTATCACAATTTATGAGGGACAATGGTGGCGTTGACTAAGGTGGTAGGTGAGAAGTGATGAAAGTGGTTAAATTCTAGATACACAATGTTTCGAAGATAGGACTGACAGGACTAGCCATAGTTATGACACGGGACACTCAAGCATTATGCTAAGTGGTTTGCATCATTTCACATACGTAATTCTCACACAAAAAAACCTCATTTTATAGATAGAGGAACCAAGTCTGAGGCATGTTAATTGATCTTGCAAGGTCACTCCTTGCATAATTAGCAGATCCCAGATCTACAGGATTCCAAAGCCACACAGCTTCTTTCATTTTAAAATGCATGCATTAATAAATAGAATAATTAAAAGAGGCCTCAAAAAGAGTCACTGATCCATGTCCTTGCCTTAGGTGAGCAACAGGACCATCTTGGACAGAACTACAACTTCCACTTGATGAGATCAAGGACAGAAATGCAAGCACAAAACATTTCTGGGAGCGATAGTGCCAACTAAAGGGCATTTAAGGAGCTCTCTTGTCAGTGGAGCCCTGGCTGCTGTCCCAGCTCCCAGCACTGGGCCAGATGCCTTCAGGCCCTTATTTTCTCTCTCAGTCTCTGAAATGGGGATAATAACATCTATTAGTCTGACCCACCTCACAAGGACCCAATTAAAAGTCAAATATAGGCAGTATTTTTGACGAGCAGAGCCTGTCCACAAGATATACTTTATAATCGTTTTGTAACCCAAAACAAGAAAAGCTAACAGACTGACTTGTTCCAACTCACGTGGAAAAACCCTGCCTGTGTGGAAAGAAGCATTTTGAACGTTTTAAGACCAGAAACCCAGTCATCATTTCCACATATTGAGATGGCTGCTGATATACAGTCAACTCCACAGAATAAATTTCTGTTCAGGTTTAAACTAGTTTTCTCAACAGTTCTCAAATGCAGTTTAATGTCTAAGTAACTTCAGAGGAGCTATTTCTGTTTGTTCTATTTAACCTAAGTCACTTCCTATTTTCTTCTTAACCAGCGTGGTAGAAAAAATTCCAGAATCCTAGACCAAAAAATGATCTGGAATTCCTATGTCAGAAGGGCATAGGAGTGTCCATGTGGCTTGAATTAGAGAGAGGGGGGACTTGGAGCTGTATTTACACTAACATTTTAAAAAATCATCTGTTCTTATAAAAGAAGAAAAGGAGTTAATGTGGAGATGTGGAGGGAGAGAGGCTCCCCCTTGCCCATCCCTCATGCCAAGTCCACACTGCACACAGTCAGAAAACATGGGTGTTTGTCTGGTGTTGCACAGAAGTGCTTTGTAAACGCAAGCAGCTCTTGGAGCCTCAGTTTTTCATCAGTAACCTAAAGAAATAGAACTAGTATCTCCCTAAGGTCCATTTCAGTTTCAAAATTATTGGATCTTCGAAAAAGTCATGATGTATTTGTCTATGTTTGTCAAAGGTCATTTATTTATATAAAAAACAAAGATCAATCAATGATATATTGCCTGTTTTGTTCAATAACCTTTTACCATCTTTCAGTGAGCTTCATAATTCCTCATTCATAGAAGGACCTGTCTTTATTTGCGAAAAACTGTAAATCAGTTTTTACAGCCTCATCTAATTTGAACATTATACCACACAAGGAATTTTGAAGAAAGCAAAACAAGTGGAAGTCTGACGGCGCAAGGTCAGGCGAGTATGGTGGGTGTGGCAACACATCCCATCCAAGCTCCAATCATTTTTGACGGGTGATCAAACTTGTGTGTGGTCTCGTGTTGTCATGATGGAACACAACTCCTTTACAATTAACAAGCTCTGGACGTTTCTGAATGATGGATTTGTTCAAACTGTCCAATTGCTGACAGTACTCATTTGAACTGATTGTTTGGTTCCTTGGTAGGAGCTTGAAAAACATTACACCTTTAAAATTCCACCACACTGACAGCATAACCTTCCTCTGATGCATGTCTGCTTTCGATGTGGTTTGAGGCGAATCATCACGTGGGGACCAAGACCATTTGCACACCACATTGTTGTAAATAATCCACTTCTTATCACCAGTTATCAGTCACTTCAAAAAGGATCGTTTTCCTCACGTTTAATGAGCATATTGCAGATGCTTATATGTGCCGTCCAATGAACTTCTTTGAGTTCATGCAGAACCCAAGTATCGAGCTTGCTTATGTATCTCAGCTTCTTCAGGTGGCAGTGAATGCTTGAATGACGAATGTTCAATGTTTGTGCAATCTCTCCTGTCGTGTAACGTGGGTTTGACTCAATCAATGCCTTTATTTTGTCGTCATCATCCTCAGTGGGCCTCCCTGACCGAGGAGCATCATTAAGATCAAAATCATCAGCACAGAATTTCGTGAACCATCATTGGCACTGACATTCTTGTAGAGCATTGTCACCGTCAACTTTATGCAACTTTTCACAAGTTTGACACGCGTTCTTCCCTTTATGGAAGTAAAACAGTAAAATATGGCAAAAATGCACATTTTGGTCTTCCATCTTCAACTTGTAAAATCTCCAAAACTCAACCAAACTGCTCATTTTTTTTTAGGATGAAGCTAGAACTGTCAGCTGTCAAATGACACAGCAATAACATAGATGCGAATGACTCTAGTACTTCCAAAAATGAACTAATGCCATCTGTTGCAAATATACGTCATGACTTTTCTGAAGACCCAATATGTAAGTTTCTGAGACAATTCTCCAATATGGGATATAGTTCATCTACTCATTCCTGGTCTGATTTCCCACCTTCACTAGTATATACAAAGGCAGGTGTTACTGGATGGGGATGTAAATAACCCCCTTTGAATATGTACCATGTCGCAGAAGATGTTACAGCCCTAACTCTATTCTCAGGCCTCTGCACTTCAGTGCAGGTAGGTGATCTCTCCACCTCAGGGCTGTCTTCTAAACCATATACCACACAAGTGCCTAGAATGGCTCTCAACCAGTGAGTGCTGACAATCAATGTATAGGTATTTCTAGCTCCCTCTTGCCCTAACAGGGGGTCTGGTGGAATAACTCAGAGGCAGGGATTCAATATTTTCCCCAGTTCCAGTGCCCCTGGTGCTAGCTGGCTTGATAACATACTCTTTCCCAGCTTGCTTTCCTTCCTGTTTCACGTGCTGCCCTCCCTAAGACTGATCCCTGCACCTCACAAGTAAACCACTTGCATTGAATCCTGTCGCTATGTCAGCTTCTGGGGGAACTCAAGCTAAGGCACATTATAGGGACATTTCAATCCCTAGCTAATGAGGTTCCCAACTTGACCACTCTATGAGAATAAAAGTAATGTTCTCCAGCAAGATTCCTTTGGATCACATGATTCTTTTATAGGGGACTATAAAGACAAAATTTATGTATTTTATGTCCCAGAGCCTACAGTCTATACCCTGAAAGTGGGACCCTTGAGAACCAGAGTATTCCTCTCTGATTCACCTCCTTGATAGAGTCCCCTGGCCACCTAGAACAGACAAATAGGTGAACTCCTGAGTCTCCATTACACCCTGAAAAATTAGTCTCAACTGATCATGGTCTTTCTATCCCTTTTGTCAGACCTATAACCAATCCCGGAAACTACAAGGTTATATGACTTGAGACTGGATTCAACTGTGATTAACACATAAACCTTAAGCATATTCAAAAAGTCTGAAGGTCATCACCCAGCCCTAGTATGACTTTCCTGCTATCTTGCTGCTCCACCACACATGCCTACTATTCCCAAAGTCACCACATGCTCCAAGGTCATCACTGCAGCTCCAGCCATTACAGTCACCTTCCCGTCAGCCAGCCAAGGATAAAAGGGTAGAGGAGAGTATGCTCCTTTAAAGTTCTTCCCAACTCTTCTTATATCCCGGGGGTTAGAACTCAGGCATGTGGCCATCCCTAGCCAAAAACTCTTTATTCTGGGCAGTCATGTGTCCAGCTGAAAATCTTGGGTTTTGTTAGTGAGGAACAAGGGGAAGGTGGATATCGGGTGACAGCAAGCAGACTCTGACACAGAGTAGTAGTCATATGAAGGACTTCACTCATAGAGACACAGCATAAAACAAATGATCTCTTTCCTTAATCTACATGTTGTGGTGGTTAGCGCAATGCCGGGAACTGCTGTCACCATCTCACTATAAGGCTGAGGATGAAGCAAACACCAAGGTTGGCAGAAAAGAGAGATGGAAACAAGCTCAGTTCTTGAAGATCTTATCATGATACAGAATCAACCTGAGGCCTTCCTTAATTCTGATCCTATTATTATGCAGTTATCTATTAATTATTAGAAAATTAATTTATTTAGGTTTTTAGCCAGTTTTAGCTGAGTTTTATATTAGTTTATTATTATTATTATTATTATTATTATTATTATTATTATTTCTGTCATAACAAATTACCACAAGTTTAACTGCTTAAAACAACACCCATTTATTATCTCGCAGTGTCTGTAGGTCAGAAGTCTGGGCATAGCATGACCTAACTGGCTCCTCTCTTTCACGTCTCACATGATAGTAACCAAAGTCTTGGGAAGGCTGCATTCCTTTCAGGAGGCTCTGGAGAAGGACATGCTTCTAAGCTCCTTCAGGTGGTTGGCCAAATTAAGCTCTGTGCCCTTGTGGGACCAGGACCCGTTTCCTTGATGATTGTCCACAGGAGCCGGGGAATGGAAGTCACACTTAGCTTCTAGAGGCTGCCTGCATTCCTTGGCTCAAGGCCCTCTTCCTGGTCTTCTTAGCCAACAATGGCAGATTGAGTCTTTCTCACACTTCAGATCTCTCAGAACTTCCCTTATGCCTCATCTCTTACTGATTCTTCTGATTTCATCTAATTTTAAGGGCTTATGTGATCACATTGGTCCTACCAGGATAATTCAGCATAATGTCCCTATATTAAGGTCAGTTGATTAGAACATATAACTATGTCTACAAAGTCCCTTCACACCTGTCCCTATACTAGCATTTGATTGAATCACTAGGGGACAGGAATCTTGGTGGGAAGGGGGAGGGGACATCTTTCGAATTCTGCTTCCCACAAGTTTCCTGGAGCCCAAAGCATCCTGCTTGATACGTCCTCATAGTAGACCAGAAGAAAAGACTCATCTCCCCAGACTGCCTCATTCTCAGGGTTAAACTCAGAGGAACTGGTTCAGTGTTGCAAAGTAACAGAGCTAAAACAGACCAATATTCATTAATGATAAAAACACAGGCTGGCTAAAGAGGGCAGACCTTTCCCTTTTGCTGTGTTATTCTAAATCTGGCCATTTTGCTGATTAGAATCATACAGCACCCCCATTTCCTCCGAACAGGATGCTTTCCAGGTTGCCATCAGTTTTTGGTGTATCTCAAATCCAATCCCCTAATTCACACATTTTTCTCTGAGTGAGATAAAATGGTTATTTAAGCAATATACATTACTGATTTTAAACCAGTTCCTGGAAATGTAGTTGCTTTTCTGGCAAGCCCTGTGTAAAAATGCCTTCCTAGAAAACACATGAGCAAGAACTAGTTAGAAGTAACTTTTGTACAAAGTTTTATGAAGAAAACTACCTTTGATGAAACTATATTGGCTAAAACAGGTTTCTCAGACACTGATTTGTAGTTTCTAAGTCCATCTTCCAGGTTTGCTCTTAATCTTGACTTTACCATCATCCACATTTAAACCTCTGAACTCTGGCCATGTAATATATAGATAGTACAGGTAATCCCCCTTTGATAGAATACCTAAGAAACCAAGGTACGAGAGGACTTGGCCCAGGTCTTATATAAAGTCAGTGGTGGCAACAGTGAGGTAATTACATGTAACAACATCTTTTAGGGGACCTTAGGTTTGAGCCATCCTTACTCTCCACCACACCCAGTGTTTGTGGATCTATTTCTCATTCAATTCTACAATTCAGTAGATTGGCTCTAACCACAATTTAACCACTCCAAGATCAGGAAGAGTTTATCTCTGTTGGGACACATCAGACAATAGCCTGAGCCACAAAGAAATCAGGTCTGGCATTGTACAGCCTTGGCTCAGGCTGGACAGCAGTGCCTAGGAACTCTGCACAAGTCCCCTAGCATTGGGTTAAGAAACTAAATTGAGGCAGAAAAATTGCTGTCATCAATAAACAAAATGGCATTAACCATTTATGGGTGGTTGTCATCTTTAAATAGGACCTCTGAGCATGAATGAGATTGGATATATGGTAAGAGGGCTAGGGACCTGGAGAGACAGTTTCACATTGCAAACAACAGTGTACTGAGATCAAAAATCAATTCTGCTAACTTTTATAACCCCTTTATGTTTTCTGTAACTAATCTGGTTTTCCCTGTAAAGTAACACCACTTAATCAGAGGCTAAAGGAGAAAAAAGTAACAAAATATCCAAAGCAATTTTAACAAGCATCAAGATTGAATTATTTGGACAGTCCCTTCAGAAAATGCCTGCAGTCTTCCTGGGATAACATATATGTCCCTGAGGTAGCCTTCTCTTTCCTTGTTACTCTTCCTAAGAAGGTATCTGGGTGGATGGGAAGAGGGTGCGACCTTCATATTTTCATGAAAGTAGGTAAGGGTTGGCGTCTGTGAGCAGTGTCATCTGCCTCTTCTGTTCTGAGGGAGACAATCCCGTGTGACCCAGTTTGCCTGCTAACATTGATGAGCAAGTCTGCACTTGCAGGATCAGGCTCTCCTACCCTCATCAGAGCCCAGAGAAGCTCCCAGATGACTCGACTTGGCTCCCACTTGTGGGGTCCCTTACATCTATCTGCCATTTCTCTTATCCAGCCGGGGCCCAGTTATACATACTAAGCCCCTGCTGCAAGGCCGCATGAGATAGGCACAGAAAAGCAGACCCAGGTGGTCTCCTCCTGCCAGTTATAGAGCGCCACCTAGTATTTGTTAACGTGGCTGCAGCCCCAATTGGCTTGCAACAGCTCTGTCCTCGGAGTGTACATAGTTGGAACTCCCTTTTCCCTCTTCTACCAGAGTAGCCCCCCTACCCCCCATCACCACCCCTTTACCCTCTGGTAACAACTAAATTGTTGTCTGTGTCTATGAGTTTTTCTTTGCTTGTCTTGTTCATTTGTTGCTTTCAGTTTTATATCCCACCTATGAGTAAAGTCATATGGTTCTCAACTTTTTCTGTCTTACATATTTTGCTTAGCATGATAATCTCATGATCCATCCATGGACTCTGAGTGGCAAACACATAATGCAATATATAGATGATGTATTATAGAAATGTACACTTGAAATCTATATGATTTTACTAACCAATGCCACCCAAGAAATTCAATTTTAAAAAAAGTTGGAACTCTTGCTCTTTAACCTCTTTCTCTCTCCCTAGCCCTATTCCTATATCTCCCTTGCCTTTTTTTCCAACCCCTGGGACTGTCTTTTAGTATCTAGAACAGCGGTTCTCAACCTGTGGGTCGCAACCCCTTTGGGGGTCGAATGACCCTTTCACAGGGGTTGCCTAAGACCATCAGAAAACAAAAAGATATTTACATTACGATTCATAACAGTAGCAAAATTACAGTTATAGAGTAGCAACAAAAATAATTTTATGGTTGGGGTTCACCACAACATGAGGAACTGTATTAAGGGGTCGTGATTAGGAAGGTTGAAAACCGCTGATCTAGACAGACCATGTTTATCAGTGAGGGTTATAGCAGGAAATAGATGGCACATTCGAATAAGAGAACTTTGATATAAATTTAATAAATTTAACTATTTTCACAGATGTGGCAAGGTTTAGAGCAGTGGCTCTCAGGATGTGAGACAGAGACTTGAGATCCTTTCAAACCAAGCTATTTTCCCAATATTTCTAAGATGTCATTGGAGTTTTCCAGAGGCTCCATACCATGTAATATTTACAACAAAGGACATTAGGAGCAAAGTAAAAGGCAAAAAACAAAATGAGGGAAAACGTTTGCAAAATATATAACAGGCAGAGATTAAAATGCAGAAATTATGAAGAACTCCAATTGATAAGAAAAAAACAAACAAACCAACAGAAAATAGACAAAGGACATAAACAGGAAATTCACAAAAGAAAAATATCAATATCAAAAAGGAAAGGAGCAAATTTAAATCCCAATAAGGATTTTTTTTAAAATTTTTATTACAGAGATTAGTAAAATATAAAATTGTTTGAGTACCAGCTTTGAAATGGGTGTAGGGAACAGATACCACATTCATGACCAAAGGCAGTATCAATTGTTACAGCCAGTTAAGAGGTCAATTTGGCAATATCTATTTAAATGCACATAATATATGACTCTAGAATTCCAAAACTTCCAGGCATCTTCCCACCCCTACCCCAAAACGCTGCACATAGATTAGAAGATATGTTTAAGGAATTGCATTGCAGCATTGTTAGAAATAGCAATAATGGCTAGCAATAGCCAAAAAAAGAAAAAAAAACTGAATGCCCTTTAATACAGGAATGATTATATAAACTGTGATTTATCCATGCTGTGAAATTTTGTGAAGCAGGCAAAAAGAAAGTGATAGATCAATAGGTTCACATAAGAAAGTTCACCAAAACATTGTTGAGTCAAAAAGAGCAGGTTGTAAATTGATATTTATCTTATGATAGCGTGTTGACATTTATAAATAAATTTGCAAATAGAAATCAGTAGCCTATTTAAAAAATAATAAACCACAACACATTTAGATTCATCTCCATGGTGGAATAATAGTTTGATATTAGGGAATTTATTAAAATAGTATGCCCTATTCATTGGTCGAATGAGATCAAATCATACTTAGAACGCATTTAACAAAATTCAACATCGTTTCCTAATTCAAAAATCTTAATAAAACAAAAAGAGACAATTAATTCCTTAATGTGACATAAGAATACATGCATAACCCCCAAAGCCAGCAATATGCTTCATACCAAAGCAATAACAGAGGCGATCCTCTGTAAAGTCAAGAGCAAGGCAACAATTCCCAATAAGGGCATGGCTACATCAGTGTTCTGCAAAAGTGAGCCAATGCATTTCAAAAGGCACATGCAATAAATGCGTAAATGTTGGAAAGAATGAGGCAAATTTTTCATTAGTCTTTATAAATGGTATCATCACTGTGTACTTAAAAAATTGAAGGAAAAAAAAACATAAAAACAATTTACTCCTTTGTAAAGGAGTAAATTACAAAATTAATCAAAACAAACAATGGTTTTCCTTTCTACAAAAAGAAATTATAAAATAGAAAAATATTGTTAAAAACAACCAAAAACTAAAAACAAAGTGAACAAAATAAGATAAATCCAAAAGCCACATGAAGAAAGCTTTAAAACTCTACTGTGTGACATGAAAGACTTGAATTAATTTAAAACACCTGGGTGAGGGGAGTCACTATTGAATAGCAATCATTTCTACTTAAATGAATCCATAAAGTCAGTACAATCCCAATCACAATACCAAGAATTTCATTTGGAAGATTAAACATGCTGTAAGAATCAGAAAAATAAATCTGTAAGAGTTTCAAAGGGAAATGAGTCCCTTCCAAAATCAAAATTTGTTATAAAGCTATAGTAATTTTAAAATTATAACACTGGTTCAGGAACAGACGCAACCAACAAATGTTCAGAATGGAGCCTAGAAACAAACCCAATACCTACAAGCATTTAATTTTTCATAGGGTGATATTGGAAAACAAATAGTAAAACATATTCAGTTGAGATAAATAGCTAATCCTATGAAGAAAAACAGAACATTCCTTTCATCAAAGTAAATTTCATATAGCTCAACCATTAATCCAATGCTAAAATAATTAACAACATCAGAGCAAATCTAATTGAGTATATCAAAAGACTATCTAAGTGGATCAAACATCATTCAATAAATGCAGGCATTTTTGTTTGTTTTATTCACTAAGGATTGATGCCTGACACATAGTAGTTGTACAATAAATATTTGCTTGATAAACGCATGAATCATGGATCAAAAAATTAATAAAAATAAAAACTACAGAAGAAAATATAAATCTTGTTTTTTAAATCTTTGAATTAGGAAGGTCTTTCTCATTATTATAGAAAATCTAGAAACCACGAAGGGGGGCGGGGGTGGAATAGATTAATAAGCCTGGCCAAATGAAAATTAAACTTGTCCACTGCACGAAAATTCTCATATATGAAAAACATACAGGAAAGGCAAGACAACCTTTTCACTATTCAAAAAGTTATTTACTAATCAATACTAAAACACCAACATCCCAAAAGAAAAATTAGCAGAAAGTAGTAAATAAAGAATAAGCTATACATTGATAAATGAGTACAGCTGCCCAACAACTTTACTGATAGGTAAGTAAATACAACAATTTTTAAACACCACATTTTCTAACCTATTATACTGAAGAAGATAAATTAGATGGATTATATCCAGCGCTCACGTGTCCCTTTTTTAAAAAGGAACTCTCATGAACTATTAGTGGAAATACACTGGAACACAATTGTGAAGGTAATTTGGTAATATATATCAAAATGCTGAAAATGCTTACCATTTGATCCAATAAGTTTTAATTCATAACCCCCAGCGTTCCTCCCTGTGAAATTCGAAACTGTCTCCCTTAGGCGGGTGTATTAAACAAGGGAACTTACATAGGAGGCTTGCATCTGGGCTGCTTCAAGACAAGTATTGTATGTAGATCTC